CCTCCCCATCGACCCTGCCTTGAGTGTGACAGGGGGCGGTGCTCCAACCCCCCAATTGGCCCTACCCTGAGCGTGACTGAGGGTGGCATCGCAACCTCCCGATCCACCCTGCTCTGTGCATGACAGGGGCGGCACCCCAACTCCCCAATCGGCCCTGCTCTGAGCCTGAGCAGGGGCTGCACCTAGGGATTGTGCCTGCCCTCTGCCACCCGGGAGGAGGCCTAAGCCAGCAGGTCGTTATCTCCCAAGGGGTCCCAGACTGCGAGAGGGCACAGGCCAGGCTGGAGGACCCCCCCTCCCCCCCCCCCAGTGCATAAATTTTTGTGCACCGGGCCCCTAGTAGGATAATAAAAGGTTAATATGCAAATTGATCAAACGGCAGAACAACTGGTCACAATGATGTGTACTGACCACCAGGGGGCAGACGCTCAATGCAGGAGGAGCACAGCTCAGCCAGAAGCCAGGCTCACAGCCAACTAGCACAGTGGTGGTGGCGGGAGCCTCTCCCGCCTCTGTGGCATCAATCAGACATCCCCTGAGGGCTCCTGGACTGTACCAGACTTCTAGTATATATAGATAGATGGTGAGAACTCTTCTGAAATCCAAGGTCCCAGATGTCAGCCAAAGGACACGTTATGACAGACTTTTCAAGGGCTAGTGGTCTTAGCCCTGCTCTGTTCTTTTCTGCACAACACACATCCCATCTTTCATTTATTTTGTCCATATATTCATCTGTTTTATTGAATATATTATTCATAATTTATTTTGAAGTTATTGCTTATCATTTCCAATATCTGAGTCCCCTGTGAGTCTGTTTTTATTGTCTATTTTTTCTTGGTCCCTGTCTTTTTATAGAACATGAATTTTTTTATTGGATGCCAAACATTATATTTTTTTAAAAAAATGGTAGAGGCTCCAGAAAATGATCACTTTCAGCAGAGAGGCTTCATCCTTTCTCTGGTGGCAGGTAGAATTCAGGGCTGGTCACGTCACTTTAATCAATCATAGGTTGAACTTGGTCAGGGCCTACACCAGTGATGGAGAATCTTTTGAGCTCGGTGTGTCAGCATTTTGAAAAACCCTAACTTGACTCTGGTGCTGTGTCACATATAGAAATTTTTGATATTTGCAACCATAGTAAAACAAAGACTTATATTTTTGACATTTATTTTACATATTTAAATGCCACTTAACAAAGAAAAATCAACCAAAAAAATGAGTTCGCGTGTCACCTCTGACACGTGTGTCATAGGTTCGCCATCACTGGCCTACACCATATTCATTTCAATCCACTATTCATTTTAACACTGGAAAGTTTTACTTCCTCAGTGAAAGTTAATAATGTAAAAGGAGTGCAGCCATTGTGGCCTAGTGGTAGAGCATCAACCTGTGAACTAGGAGGTCATATTTCGATTGCCGGTCAGGGCACATGCCTGGGTTGTGGACTCAATCCCCAATAGGGGGCATGCTGGAGGCAGCCGATCAATGATTTGCTCTCATCATTGATGTTTCTCTCTCTCCCTTCCTCTCTCTGAAATCAATAAAAAATATATTTAAAAAGATAAAATTATTAAGCATTTAAAATATAATAATCTATAATAATAACAGCATAATATGCTAATTAGACTGGACGTCCTTTGGGACGTCCTTCCTGGATGAAACGGGCTGCAGGCGCCACAGCTGCAAGGAAGGGATGGCTGCGAAGGCCTACTCTTGCACGAATTTCGTGCATCAGGCCTCTAGTAATAATATAAAAGATAATATAAAAGAACTAACTTTTCCTTGGTAACCCCAGCCTATTTTGTGAATACTGCTGGCTCCTACAATGTCTAATTTAATAAATGATAATGGATATGTCTCTTTATCACGTCATAAGCATTGAGAACAGAAACTGTGTTTCTTTTCATCAATAGTATTTGTAGCAGTAGGACAGTTCCAAGCCCTTAGTGGAAAGTCAGTTTGTACATATTTTATCCTACATAGTATAGCACAGAAGAAGGCATCCTATATGACAATTTTTAGTAAGCTCTAAAGAGATTAGTTCTTTCAAAAATTTTCCCCATCATATAGTTCTGACGGCTTCATATAGAAAAAGAATATACCGTTACAGGAACAAGTGTCATTCAAAGATGTGTGCGTGGACTTCACCCAGGAAGAGTGGTATCTGCTGGATTCTGCTCAGAAGATACTATACAGAGACATGATGCTGGAAAATTACAGCCACCTTGTCTCAATAGGTAAGAATATTTTCCATGTGACTACCAGTAGCATGCATTTCTTAGTTGATGAAACATATGAACTCCTTGTAAGAATTTTCTGATTTGAAGAATTCGAGATTTGGGCTAGCATAAAGAATGCTGTGTTTTTCCCTCCTCAGGGATTGGTTGATTAGGGCACCTCCTTTGAACAGCTCTTTTTTTTAAATATATTTTATTGATTTTTTACAGAGAGGAAGGGAGAGAGATAGAGAGTTAGAAACATCAATGAGAGAGAAACATCGATCAGCTGCCTCCTGCACATCTCCCACCGGGGATGCGCCTGCAACCCATGTACATGCCCTTGACCGGAATCGAACCTGGGACCCCTCAGTCCACAAGCCGACGCTCTATCCACTGAGCCAAACCGGTTTCGGCTGAACAGCTCTTTAAGCTGTACCTTTCTTCCCATCATTTTCTCAGAGTCCCTAAAACCAGGCTGTTTAGCCATAGTGCTGTATTATTTTCTCTTAACAGGGTATTGCATTACTAAGCCAGAAGTGATCATCAAGATAGAGCAAGGAGAAGAGCCCTGGATATTAAAGCAAGGATTCCCAAGCCAGTGCCACCCAGGTGAGTTCATGAGTTCACAAGCAGATGGAAGCCACAGGAAGTGAGATCTTAAGCCATTGTTAAGGGCTTATCACCTTTCAGATATTTCTCTTTGTAGCTCAGAACTTTGGAAGTTCTAAGGACAGTTGGCCCACATCCCTTTATTACCTTAATCACATTCCTCCACATGTCACTTTCACTCATAAGTGCTTTCCTTCGTTCTTGTACATTTTCAGGGTGACTTACCTATACCCATAAGCCAAACGCAGTCGGGTTTATCTTAGATAATTTTTTTAATGTATCTTTTTTTTTCTTTTTGGTTAGTGTATCTTTTAGAATTGTTCACCTTCTCTCTATTGTCTTTGTGTTAGCTGGTGTGTTTTCATGCAGTACTTCTATATATTCATTTAACAAACATATGTGAGCACTCACTATGATCCAGTTATGTTTTTAGGTAATTAAAAGAGTAATGTCCCTGCTGTCATGTAGTGTATATTACAGTGAGGGGCACAAAGCATATGTGTGTGTGTGTGTGTATGTGTGTGTGTGTGTGTGTGTGTGTGTGTGTAGATACAGTGGGGCCTTGACTTACGAGTGTCCCGACTAATGAGTTTTTTGAGATACCAGCTGTCTCTCGGCCGATTTTTTGCATAGAGTTGACAGAGTAATTTGAGTTAACGAGCTCCTTAACAAGCTCCTTAACAAGCTCGGTCTCGGAACGAATTAAACTCGTAAGTCAAGGCCCCACTGTATATGTGCATGTATATACACACACAGTGTTGGGTGATGGTAAGTACTGTTAAAGTAGTGGAAAGGGATGGAGAATGATGTACTATTTGGTAAGAAAGTCAGGGAAAACCTTTTTAATGAGGTTAATAGAGACGAGACTAATAAATTGGAAGCGTGAATATTTTAGGCAGGAGAAACATCAGGTGCTGAACTTCTCAGGCAGATATATTCTTAGAGTGAAGATGGCAAGGAGGCCAATGTGGCTGGAGACCAGTGGGCGTGGGGGAGATAGATAAGAAATGATATCATAAGAAGCAGATACATTAATTTTGTTTTGAGTGATGTGAGAAATCCTTTGTTTTTTTAGTAAATGTAAATCAAATTATGTCATCAAATCTGATTTACAGTTTAAGAGAGTCTTTCTGACTTCTAGTCAGTGAATAAACTATGGTGGGTGGGTGGTACTTAGGCATTAGCAAGGAAGAAACACCAGTTAGGAGGCTATTAGGTACTCCAGAGGAGAAAAGATAGTGGCTAAGGCTATGCTGGAAGTGCTCAGAAGTGGTAGATTTGTACAGATGTATTGAAATGCGACTAAGAGGATTTGCTGTTGGATTGGATAATGGTGTGTGAGAGAGAGGACTCATGAATGACTCTAGTGATTTGTCTCAAGCAACTGGATAAATTAGGGTGTCATTTACTGAGATAGAGAAAATTAGGGAGGAGAGATTATAGAGGAGTTATTACAAAAAAGCTTGAGTCCAAATCTAGTCTGTGTATTGGAGGTTGAATGTGTACAAGTATGGAATACAGAACTAGAAGTATCCATTTGAAAGGCATTAATTTCAGGTGGTGTCAAAGGCATGGGTTAGAGGAGATCTTCTAGAACAGATGTTGGGAAACTTTAATAAAAGGGAAAGGACACATATGTAATACCCTTTGTAATACTTTTAGCAAAAAAAAAAAAATTAAATAAAAAAATTAAATTAAATTAAAAAAAAAAAGACCAGAAGGTAAACATTTCAGGGTTAGTGGCCACATGTGGTCGTGGTTGTTGCTGCTGCTGCTGCTCCTCCTCCCCTTTGCACCCCTTTCTCTTCCTATTTATTCTCCTCCTTTCTTCTTATCCTTGCTCCTCCCTAGTGCTCTTCTACTTTGTCCCTCTAAAAATGTAAAGAACATTCTTAGTTCAAGGACCATTCATTGCTTGTAGTCATAGTTGGCTGACTCCTTTTCTAAAGAGTGGTTCTTTGTGAGAGAAGTAGTCTTGGGACAATACACTTTTCTGAGACATGTAAATCCATTAAATCTCATCATTAGAGGAGATTGAGAAGGAACAGTCTGAGTGACATGAAAACCAGAGAGGCTGGTTTTCCACGAGTCAAATAAGGGACATTCTACAATCCTTTTACCACCTTAAGTGGCAACCATGGGTCACTGTGCTAAACCTGTTATTTCCTATTACTAGTCTATTCAGACGCCTGTTGTTTTCCTTTCAAAACCATCTACTACATCTCTTCATTTTCTCACTTTTCACTGATACCGCGTAAAACCAGAACTGTGCCTGCGATTTTTCATTTCTGGCTTGAGCTACCTCCTAAATGGCTTTTATTTTTTTAACCTAAAGCATCCAGTGTATCTTTTACTAGCCTGACAGAGTAGCTTTTTATTAATAAATAAAATTAAAGTCTTTCATTGACTATCACAATGTGGTCCTATTCTTTTTCTTTTTTTTCTTTTTTATAAGAATTTATTTGAGACATGCTGGGAACCAAGATCACAAGTGCTCTACTGTGGTCCTGTTCTACCTATCTTAATTTCTTTCTTTCTGCTCTCCAGAATTTACACTAAAACCCATACTATATTATATCCTAAATTCACTTATAAATGCTTTCTCTCTTTTTTTTTTTAACTTTAAATAATTTTTTATTTTCAGTTACAGTTGACATACAATATTATATTAGTTTTTGGTGTACAACCCAGTGACTAGACGTTATGTAACTTACTAAGTGATCACCCCGATAAATCTAGTACCCATCTGACAACAGTTATTACAATATTATTGACTATATTCCTTATGCTGTACTTTACATCTCCATGACTATTCTGTAACTTCCAATTTGTACTTTTTAATCCTTCACCTTTTCCACCCATCCCCCCAACAGCCTTCCCATCTGGCAACTGTCAAAATGTCCTCTGTAGCTGTGAGTCTGTTTCTGTTCTACTTGTTTATTTTTTAGCTCTATTTTGTCTGGTGTAAGTATTGCTACCCCAGATTTTTGTTAGTTTGTTTCCATTTCCATGAAATATCTTTTTTCATCCCTTTACTTTAAATCTGTGTGTGTCTTTTGATCTGAAGTGAGTCTCTTATAGATAGCAAGGTTCTGTTTTTGTTATCTATTAAGTCTCCATATGTCTTTTGATTGAAGCATTTAATTCATTTGCATTTAAAGTAATTTTGATACATATTTATTACCATTTTATTATTCATACTTCTTATCCTTTTTTCTTTTTTTTTTTTCTTCTTTCTTCTTCAACACTAGTTTGGTGGTGATGAATTGCTTTAGCTTTTCCTTGTCCAGGAAGCTCTTTTATTAGTCCTTCTATTCTAAATGATAACTTTGCTGGGTAGAGTAATCTTGGTTATAGGTCCTTGCTTTTCTAAAGAATTTTAATGTGTTTTTATTGATTTCAGAGAGGAAGGGAGAGGGAGAGAGAGATAGAAACATCAATGATGACAGAAAATCATTAATCGGCTGCCTCCTGCACACCCCCTACTGGGGATTGAGCCCGCAACCCAGGAATGTGCTTTGATTGGGAATCCAAGCATGACCTTCTGGTTCATAGGTCGATGCTCACCCACTGAACCACGCTGGCCAGGCTAGCCAAAAATTTTAAGATAATGTCTATAAAAACTGAAAACTCTATAAAAGATAAACCTAGAAATAAAAGCAGACTTAAAAATCAACATTGCCTAAGAAACAAAATTATTTTGGGGAGAAGTAAGCCAGCAGATTGAGGTGAAGGAACGTATGACTTGAGGGCTTGGGCAGTTTCGTGAACAGCTGTGAGCAAACAAAATGAACCTGGTCCTTTTGTAAAGAAGGCCTGCTCCTCATCTGGGTTGTATTTCCTGTTGAACATTAGTGTTGTGAATCACAGCTAGAAAGAGAGTTGGAGTTTCAGGTAAAGCAGTGTTCCTTAATGCATGAGGAAATAGATGCTTTCAGAAATTTATTTTGATGTTGACATAAAACGGGGAGAGAAAGGAATGGCAACATGCATTAGTGAGGATCTTACAACAGTAATCAAGTTGTGACAAGGTAAGGACATAAGCCATGATCTGCCTCTGCCAAAGCAAATTCTTCCTCTAATTTGTTTTTCGGTCTGTTTTCCTTAAAAACAAAAACAAAACTTTCCTTGTTGAACTCATCCAATTCTGAGTTTCCTGCTTTCCAAATGAACAACTCTCAGAAAATCTCTGTTTGCTCACCATGTCTTCAGTTTATTTCACCTTCTCTAACTTGCCTCTCTTAAAACATTTAAAAAATATTTTTTTTTTCTGTGAATTATATTAAAGGAAAATCTAGATCCTGGGTTTTGGACTATTCTTTTGGAACTAAGTAAGTTGGTGTTTTCAGAACTCTAGTTTGGTTTCATGTGTAGAGGGGAGTCATGTACTCTAGTTGGACTCCTACCCCAGTAATCTGTATACCAGAGGATTAGGACTAAATTGTTCTCTCTCTACCAAACACAGTTCATCCTCTGAAAGCCCTTGTCTACTCACCTTAACTATCACTTTATTCCTTTGGGCTCACCCCATTCTCTTGCATTTCCTTGTTTCTGAATCAGCCACTCCCAGTGCTTTGAATTTTACTTCCTTTTTTTGGTTTAGTTTTGAAGGTTACATATTTACAAAGTGCTAAATGTCATTGCCCTTTCCTTTCCCTGCTTCCACTCCAGCATGTATTTTCCACTCCAACCAGAACAGTAAAGGAAATATGTAGTTGGATTTAGTTCATACCAGGAAACTGGGTCTAAAACAAAGGATTTATTGCATAATAGGGCATTTGTGTTAAAGTCCAATTCCATTAGAAATGTACTGAAATTCATAAGATGTGGTTATTTTTCTCATTTCTAGAAGACTGGAAAGTTGGTGACCTAATAGAGAGCAGCCAAGAAAATGAAGATGGGCATTTTTGGCAATTTGCTGTCACCACCAATAAAACATTAAATATACATGGTGGTGATAGAGTAAGGAAAACTTTCAATCTGGGTAAAGACTGTGTTCCTTCAAGAAATGTTTCATATAAGATATGTGCCTCTTGTGAAATGAGTTTGAAGAATATTTCAGACTTAATTATTAGTAGAAAGAACTATTCTGGAACAAAACCTGATACGTTTAATTTATATGAGAAATTGCTCCTTGATATTAGGCATGAGAAAACTCCTACTGGAGGGAAATCTTATAACTATGGTCAAAAAAGGAATATCTTTAGTCATGGCCAGGATCTCACTCAGCTAATTTTCGACCAGCCTTCTGAGTATAATGAAAATGGACAAGGCTTCCAAGAAGAGGCAGCCTTTTTCTCAAACAAGAGAGCTCAGATAGGAGAGACACTCTGTGAATATAATGAATGTCAGAGAACTTTCATCCAAAACTTAAAGCTCAGTTTATCTCAGAGAACTCATTTAGAAAGGGACCCATATGAATGCAGTATTTGTGGGAATTCCTTCTATGTGGATTTAAGATTGGGACACCAGAGAGCTCTTACCAGGGAGAATCCTTATGAATATAATGAATATGATCAAATTTTCTGTGACAATTCAACTTTTATTATTCATCCGAGAACTTACACAGGAAAAATTCCCCATGAATATAAAGTAAGTCACAAAACGGGGCGGAAATCAGCCCTCTTTAAACATCAGATAGTACATATGGGAGCAATACCTTATGAGCACAAGGAGAATGGAAATAATTTCAGCAAGAAGTCACATCTCACCCAACCTCGAAGAGCTCACTCAGGAGAAAAAAATTTTGAATGTGCTGAATGTGGAAAAACATTCTGGGAGAAGTCAAACCTCACTCAACATCAGAGAACACACACAGGAGAGAAACCCTACGAATGTGCTGAATGTGGGAAATCCTTTTGTCAGAAACCACACCTTACCAACCATCAACGAACACATACAGGAGAAAAACCTTATGAATGTAACCAGTGTGGAAAAACATTCTGTGTGAAGTCAAACCTCACTGAACATCACAGAACACACACAGGAGAGAAACCCTATGAATGTAACACATGTGGAAAATCCTTCTGCCACCGGTCAGCACTAACTGTACATCAGAGAACACATACAGGAGAGAAACCCTTCATATGTAATGAATGTGGGAAATCCTTTTGTGTGAAGTCAAACCTCATTGTACATCAAAGAACTCACACAGGAGAGAAACCGTATCAATGTAATGAGTGTGGGAAAACCTTCTGTGAGAAATCAGCTCTTACTAAGCATCTCAGAACTCACACAGGGGAGAAACCCTATGAGTGTAATGGATGTGGGAAAACCTTTAGTCAGAGATCAGTACTCACTAAACATCAGAGAATTCACACAAGGGTGAAAGCTCTTTCCACATCCTGAATGTTCAGAAATCTTTGTCTACCCTTTCAAATTCATTATTCAGTTTTTAAAAATAAGATCAATGAAACCCAAAGAACATCACAAGTTACTCAAAAGTTATGTCTTATTGCACTTCAGATAATTAATATTAGAATAAAACCTTATTAATGTTTTAAATATGTGGAAGCTTTTACGAAAAAATAAACTTTTGTCAGAAAATTTGTACTTAGGAAAAATTTGTTCATTTAAGTTATATGGTAAAAATCTTTGTAGAGAATTTATGTTGTCTTGTATCATATTCCAAATGTGATACCAAAACTTTATTGTAAATATAATGTGTGATACTCACTTATACTGATATTCACAGTATAATTTGAAGCTTAAAAAATGTTGAATGACAATAGCATTAAACATTCATGTGAAGAATCCCTAATGTGTTCAGGCCTATGTAAGTATTCTAACATGATAGAAATTTGAGGTATGTTTGATTTATATATTAGAGCCCAACATTAATTGTGAAGAGAAAGTATGAACACTTGGTTAAACAACTATTGTGATCTACATTAATATTTCCCACACTAAATACCACCAGTATCTTTGTAGGTTGACATAATTGCATATGTACATGTAAATATATTTATACACACATATAGTGATGTGCTAGATTAAGTTCATACTGGCTTGGAAGTACTGCTGATTTAAATTTTCAGGAATTTTGCAAGCCAGTTGTTAAACACAGTCATTTAAAAATTAAATTACATAAAATTATAATTAAATTATATTAAAAACAAAGGTAATAAATACTCAACACATTACTTCCTAATTATTTTATAATATTTTGCTATTTGTTCTTTAGGTTACTTATATTTTTGAGTCTGCATGGAGAGAATACTGAGTAATGGTGTGCAGCTGCACATCTCTTTCCATCTCTACATTCAGTGCCATCATGTTGGTAGCTTGGCTTAGTGTGAGTATTTACACAATGGAAATTGGCAAACTCTACATATTAGAGTTATTTTCTTAGATAACCTATTGTCAAGTATTTAGCAGCACACCACTATAGATATAAGAAAATATATTTGGAAGAGTTAAAGTGAAAACCACATACCTTTTCTCCTATTTCCTGACATAAATACATGGCTATTGTCATTGCTGAACTGCCTCTTCAATAAAGAAGACAAAATATGTTTCTGTGAGGTTTTTAACCACCTCTGCATCATTTCTATTCTTAATACTACCAAGTCTCTTTAGAGTACGGCCAGTATATGTTATCTTACAGCCACGTCACCTACCTCTCCTCATAGATGAATGAGTACTGCCATTATTATTGAACTACTCCCATTAAAAAACCAAACATTTTTTTCTGAGTTTTTTTAAGCAGCCTCTCAGTCAATACTGTAAATTCTGTTAATAGTGATACATAAATTCCACAAAGATTAATATTAGTTATAAACAGTAATATTGCACTGTACAAATAAAAAAATAGTTGTATGTAATGAAATGCCTCTTTCACAGTCTTGGTATTTCATTGCTGTATCTATTTAGGCATGATATGTGTAACCTGAGTTGTATGTAATCCAGGAAGTATGTATTTGTATTTCATATAATAGAGTGTCATATGTCCCTTTTGCCTTTGTCCTATTGTTTCCTATGATTCCTTGCAACATGTTGATAAGCAGTTCCAAGAGACTCTACTTCTTACTTATTGGGCTCTGTTTTGTCTTTGTCTATCCCTCACCCAGATGATATAAGGGTAAATCCAGATTAGTCTGAGATAGTCATGGATATGCTAATGATTTTGTTGGGTGGATATGTGAGATATGAGATGTTTGGAAAATATTCTGTAGTGCTTTTGGGAAAGATCTCAGCAATCAAATGTCATGACATGAGAAAACATGAGAAGAAATTGTCTCTATTGTAATGGGCTTTTTCATGTCTATATGGTATATCAAATTATAGTTTATGGCTCTAAAGGTCAATAGCCCAAAGATAACAGCACACAAGATGAGAAAACCCTAGCTTTAAGATATGCAACTCTATATGGACCTGATCTCTATCAGGACCTTATATTACTGTGATAATAATGGCTTCTCATTTATTTTTGGGGTTATTATTTAGAACTGAAGGCATTTCCCCCAATAGAGATGAATTCTTTTCTAAGTGTTAATATTCTTAAAATACAGTGAATTTGGGGGGAAATTATTTCTTTTTAAAAAAATATATTTTTTTTTTATTTCAGAGAGGGAGAGGGAGAAAGATAGAAACATCAATGATGAGAGAATTGATTGGCTGCCTCCTGAATGCCCCCTACTGGGGATCGAGCCCGAAATCTGGGCATGTGCCCTTGATTGGAATCGAACCCAGGACCCTTCAGTCCACAGGCTGAGGCTCTATCCACTTAGCCAAACCAGCTAGGGCAAGTTATTTCATTTTTAAAAAATATATACTTTTTTATTGATTTCAGAGAGGGAGAAATAGATGAGATAGATCTATGATGAAAGAGAATCATTGATCAGTATGCCTCATACTGGGGATTGAGCCCACAACCAGGGTGTGTGCCCTCACCAGTAATCGAACTGAGACCTCCTGGTTCATAGGTCGATGCTCAACCACTGAGCCATGCTGGTCAGACTGGGAAGAATTATTTCTTTTGACAATTTAATATGGGGTAGGTCTTGTGTCAGCATGGTTCTGGTGAAAAACAGAATTCTAGAAGATTTTAATGGCAGACTTACAGTGGAACAGAAACGGGCTATTGAATCACCTAGAGACTAGTATCTGCAGGAAGACTTCACTATTCTAAATCCTAACGGGGCGAAGGATGGAAGCAAGTGTTACCAGAGCCCAGTGAGACTTGCTTTCATGAAGGAGGGGCCATCTCCAGAATTGTGACACCAAGTTGCTGGTGCCTCCCTAGGGAGAACCTAAGCAGATGCCATCTGCAGGTAAGCCCGAGGGGGCACAGAGATCTGGGTGGAGCCGATGGAGAATAAGCAGCACAGTGTTTCTTATTCCTATGTAAAGGCTCAGCATTAGAAATTTATTCTAGTTGAGAGTTGTGTTTTTGCTTTGTTGTGCTTTGTTGTCATAAGTACATTCCTTTTGGAACTGAGTACTGTGGTAGGTATGCCTCTCTTTTAACATGTGTGAAGCAGACATGTATACTTGCATTATTCATATTTCCGTCTGTGATGTTTCTTGTTACATGTCGTGTGAGGTAAGCAGCTCTCTAGTCTTCCAAATAAGCCAGCTGTCCCTGCAGCTTAATTCACCTTTTTCTTTCTGATACGGCATTTTTATTACGTCTTTGCAGGACATTTGGTCCTGTCCAAAATACCCACTGAGACATTCGGCCCACAATTCATTAAATAATACATTTAACTTTGTTAAAATTTTATTATTTTTATTATGATGAATTTGGGGTTTCATATTTATTCTTGTTTTTCCTTGTCATCAAGTTTGGCAGAGTTACTCTGTAAAGCCATGAGCAACTACTCTAAAGAATATATCAACCTGCCTGGCTGGTATGGCTCAGTGGACTGAGCACCGTCCCACATACCAACAGGTTTCTGGTTCAATTCCTGGCCAGGGAATATGCCTGGGTTGTGGGCTCAGTCCCTGATAATGGATGTGCAGGAGGCAGCCTATTTATATTTCTTTATCATCAATGTTTCTGTCCTCTCCCTCTCCCCTCCTCTTTCTAAAAAATCAATAAAAACATTTTTAAAAAAAGAATATATCAACCTGATTATTGTGTTTATATTTGTAATATCTGTTAACAATTTTGTTTATACAAATTTTATTTTGTTGGTATCATTGTTAAATTGGTGGCTTTATTTGAGTGTGACCACCAAAAACCTGGCTGGTAACTTTATAGCTTTGCTGTTTATCTTTCAACACTTCGATAAACTCCAAATTGAAGGATACTACCCTACCATCAGCTTTGAAATTTGCTATGCCACCCTTCACTGTGTGGATTGTCCTATGATCAGCCTTCAGTACTGATCTGTATACACGCCAAGTTCCCAGTAGAAATCTTGGAGCTTCTGGTCTGCTGCCTGTCACACCTTCCACAGAGGTACCCTCTCTCAACATAATCTATTAGGTCATCTACATGTACTTCTGCATTCTCCACAATGTACTCAAGTTTTATTTACATCTTCCAAAGGCACAAAGGGAAGTCCAGACAACATAGATGCAGTTACGGGAATTACTTTTTGTTGTCATTTACTTGGGAAATAGGTATCCTTTTATGTATTTGCATTTGGTAGTAGTCAAATAGCATTATTTGCAATCTCAAAATCCAGCATGCACAATGAAGGGTTAATGTGATTTCATTCCTGTGCAAATATATGTGACTTCTTATCTTCTCTCTGTTAGGGCATGAATCAATGGCATAGTGTAACCCAATGCTACACCATGCACAGAAAATAACTGTGTTGGTGCTGTCTTGAAGGTGCCATCATTGAATAATGTGGTACTGGCACTTAAATATTGAATATTGTCCGAAATTGTGTAAATAATTCTTTCATCTTGAGCACCTGAATTGTGCATAAGAAGTGGTTCTCTGGGTCTGGTCACTTTATACCAGTGGTTCTCAACCTGTGGGTCGCAACCCCTTTGGCGGTCGAACGACCCTTTCACAGGGGTCGCCTAAGACCATCCTGCATATCAGATATTTACATTATGATTCCTAACAGTAGCAAAATTACAGTTATGAAGTAGCAACGAAAATAATTTTATGGTTGGGGGTCACAACATGAGGAACTGTTTTAAAGGGCCAGAAGGTTGAGAACCACTGCTTTATACTCTTCTGCAATTGCAATTTCATGCAATGGAGTTGGGTTTGGAGGTCAATGTCTGTTATGAATATTTTACTTGCCTCTTTAAGGAGCTTCTTTCAAGTAGTTTTAACAGGCTATCATGAATATAATGGAGAATTTTTCGAAGTACCTGTGATGGTGTTACATTTTGTTCTGCATATTTTAACTTTTTCAGGGTTTTCTTACTTCCCCTTCAATACCAGCTTTCTGCTGATGTTTATTCCCCCATCTTGAATGTTATCCAAATCCTGACTAGTTGTGCATCAGGCATTGCAGACTCTCCTATCTTCACAGCACCAATACCTTTCACCACTATTTTGATAAAGGAATGGAATGGCAACAAAAACCATTATAATCAGCATTTGGCTTTTCTTTATGTGAGTATAATATTTCTGCCATATGTGTGGAGAATTTTCAAATAAAGATGTCATATGCCCTAGATGGTTTGGCTCTGGATAGAGCGTCAGCTTGTGGACTAAAGGGTCTTGGGTTTGATTCCGGTCAAGGGCACATGCCTAGGTTGTGGGCTTGATTCCAAGTGTGGCCCATGTAGGAGGCAGCCAATCAGTGATTCTCTCTCATCATTGATGTTTCTATCTCTCTCCCTCTCCCTTCTCTGAAATCAATAAAAATATTTAAAAAAAGGAAGCAGTAGAAAAAATTAGTGAAACAAAAGGATGGTTCTTTGAAAAAAATGAATAAAATTGATAAACTCCCAGCAACATTGAATGAATATATATATTGAATGACACCAAAGACCTCTCAGATGTTAGGTAGATAAAAAAGAAATACTACAACAAATAAGAATACTACAAACAACTTAAGCAGATACACTTAAAAACTTTAATGAAAAAGAACAATTTCTCCAAAACCACAAGCAATCAAAACTCACCCAAGATGAAATAAATAATTGTAATAAAAATTTACATTCACGAACGTCGGGACGGAGGCGTCTGGAGCGCGGTGGGCCGTGGGGTGGGGACCTGGTCTAGGGGCATGAGCCGAGGGGAAGACGCCGAGGCCAAGAGTATTTAATAGAGATTGATGGAAGCAGAAACCAAAACTCTTCCCCTGGAGAACGCATCCATCCTATCAGAGGGTTCCCTACAGGAAGGGCACCGGTTATGGATTGGCAACCTGGACCCCAAAATCACAGAATACCACCTCCTGAAGCTCCTCCAGAAGTTTGGCACGGTAAAGCAGTTTGACTTCCTTTTCCACAAGTCAGGTGCTTTGGAGGGACAGCCCAGAGGGTACTGTTTCGTTAACTTTGAAACCAAGCAGGAAGCAGAACAAGCCATCCAGTGTCTCAATGGCAAGCTGGCTCTGTCTAAGAAGCTGGTGGTGCGATGGGCCCATGCTCAAGTCAAGAGATATGATCATAACAAGAATGATAAGATCCTTCCAATCAGCCTTGAGCCATCCTCTAGCACTGAGCCCACGCAATCTAACCTAAGCGTCACTGCAAAGATAAAAGCCATTGAAGCAAAGCTGAAAATGATGGCAGAAAATCCCGATGCCGAGTACCCAGCAGCGCCTGTTTATTCCTACTTTAAGCCACCAGATAAAAAAAGGACTACTCCTTATTCTAGAACAGCATGGAAATCTCGAAGATGATGGTTATGAATCACTGTAGCAGCAAAAGCAAATTGGTCTCCATACCTGAAACCCTCTGCCT